CCCCAAACCCCCAAAACCCCAAAACCCCAAAACCCCGGTAAGGAGGGGGGTTGTTGAAGTATGTTTTTATGGTCCTATTTCCAAACTTGCTTTATGTTGTACCTAAATGGAAAGGGTAATGGGAGTGTGGTACTTTGGGTGGTGGACGTAGGAGCATACTGATAGGTCGCTGAGTCTGACATTTATCCTGCTTATGTCTTCATTTCTTCTCGAAAATGCAGAAATTCTACTCACAGCTCTTCTTTGACGTGAATTAGCTAAAGTTTAGAGGACTTTGATTTACTTTTAGGCTTGCTGGGCTTTTTGGGTAATATTGTTTTTGCAAATTTAGATGTTACATTTTTTTTGATTTCCTCTATAATTTTAAGCTCATAAACAATACTTCTTTTAAACACGATTGGTTTGATGTATGAATCTAGGTAGTTATCAAAGCTATGTTCCATCTTGATAGTGTTCCTGTTTAATCTCATTCTTTGCTTTTTAATAAAATTTATGCAGTAGAGGCCTTTTGAGCTATGTATAATTATTGAGATTACTTATTTTAAATCCTTCAAAGCATTTTCTATAAGGTTTATGCTACATACAATCTAAGACTTACTTTTGAATGTCTGCCTATCATCATACGAGTTTCTTGAGTTGCAGAATGTCTGTCTCTTGACAGCTGAGTTCTTCCGACTCAAACCATGAGACTTTGGAGAATTGTTGCACGTATTAAATTTATTTAGTTCCTTGTGTATACAAAGTTTTGAGTCTAAATATGATGAAACATTCATTACTTTTCAGAATTGGGTAAGTTTCGCTGAATTTTAATGCGCTTTGAGGCACTCGTCTTGAAATCATCTATATTCTCTATCATACTTTTTCTGTATTCCTTCATCCACAATGGAGTTTTATTCTGGTTATTAGCTTGTCGTTTAAATTTAGTTTCAATATAATCCATGAATGACCTATCATAATTCAGTTGCTTACCTCCTAAAATTCATACTGGTGCTTACTTAGTGTCGAGAAGATTTATGGTTTTGTCTCTTTGAGTTGAACAGTAATTCACTTCAAATTTATTACCTTGACTTCTGGATAATTGCATTAGGGACTTTAGAACCTGTCAGCTTGAGCTTAACTCTAGAAGTGATCAACAGCCAATACCTGAACTTGCCAAGACCTAGTCCTTTAAGGTCCTTGTTGAGAGAATCCTTCTGAATAGCATGCTTGATATTTAGAGAACGGTTCATTGAAGCTCTATGTTGGCCAATATTGCTGGTGATGTTTCTTTGATGATTCTTGCTTGAGACCACACTCATTCGATCATCGACATCTGGTACTTGTCGAAATTGGGACTTATATGTATGAGTAGCGAAGGAATTGGTGAAGAGGAACTTTGCAGGGAAATTTTTGTAAAATTTCTGTGGTTTTGGAGACACAGGGAAGCTAGCCATTTTATAAATTTCAATATTATAGACATATTCAGGGGTTTTGGGGTTTTGGGGTTTTGGGGTTTTGGGG